AGTGCTACCTCTATGATTAGAAAAATAGCATCAATGAATTATAGAGAAACTTAGATATGTTTTTGTTAATAGTAGGCTCTCCTCTTTCTGAAAGGTATGAGGCTTTCCCTCTGGTTGGATTACAAAGTTTAAAATACCTTGGGCAATGGGGAAGGTACTTCACCATGAGGCAGCCTTCGTCTAGACAGTCTGTTCTTTGCTTTCTAAGCCCACCGTGGTGCTTCCGTGAGCCAGTGTTTGAAAGTGAGTGGGAGCGAGGAGCTCTTTCGGAGGTATTGCTTAGAGTGTTCGTCAGCAGGTTAGTGGTACAGTTGGCTTGGAAAAATTCAAGCATGTGTCTTGAAGAAATCAAATTTATTCTTATACTTACTTGTGTCCAAAAGACATGTTGGCTCAGTCCTTGTGCTACTGACTATTTTATAAATTAGAGTGGCTTCTTAGAGTTTTGTGTTCCACTAAGGGGAAAAGAATATTTTCTACAACTAGACTATGACTGGGCTTGTGGAATTTAGTTTCTTTCATTCCAGATGAACACATCCAAAATTTTTATCTGTAACTGCCACACACATTCCTTACTTCAAGTAGATGTCTTCCTATATTTATGAGTTAGCGCAACAATAGTTTGTTGAGCACCTACTATATGTCAGGCACTGTGCAAGGCACTGAAGCTCACAGTGACTTAGACCCTCTTTCTAAGGTACCATGTAAGGGAAGACAGACCCAAAATCTGATGCTTTCTCTGTAAAGTGGTCAGTGAGGGTGCAGGACGGAAGGATTATGGGAACTCAGTCAAGGAGGGCTTCCTGGAGGCAGCACCTAAGTATAATCTCAGAGGAAACAGGGGTGGGAGGCCCAAGGGAATGCCAAGAGCAACCACAGGTTCAAATCAAACAGCACGTCTTTGTCTGGAAATAAAGCATTTCAGTGTGGTGGAGCATGGAGTGGCAGGAAAGAGAGGGCCTTATACATTGTACTTACCCTACTGGGAGCTTGGGCCTGACCTCCAGGCCGAGTGGGTGAGTGGGTTGTGCTCCCTTCCTTCAGCTGTGCCAAGTGCCAGAGTTCTGCGGGCAGGCTGGTTTGCATCGTGCAGTGGGAGCCAATGAAGCGCTCCTGAGGGATCCTAAGCATAAGGGTGATCTTGCCACATTTGTCTTGTATGTAGGTCAGTGGCTGTGCAGCCGATGAGTTCAGACACATCTTACCACATCTCACTATGTGGCAAGATGACCGGTTGCTGGATCCCTTCTTTCCTTCGTCACTTATCTGGGAAGATCTTGCCAAAACAACTTTCCTAGTAGACGGGTATCTTCCTTTCCTCTCTGTTCCCAGGCCAGATAGCACCCTGCTGCAGACTGGTCCCCACGCCCCGCAGCCACTGCCTTGCCTGGAAACCCGCAGTGGCTGTTCCCTGCTTCCCAGCCGGAGCCCTCTGTGCTGGCCAGGTCGCTCACTGACCTCCCCCCTCTGCTGGGTCCTGCAGTCCCCTCTGCTGGAATCTCCTTGCCTTTGTCTCTCTCTCTTTCTGTCCAGATTGTACTACTCTTGCAAAAGGCGCAAGCTCAGTTTCCTCCCCGTCAAAGGCAACCTCAGCCCGTGCTGGGCTCTCCCATCTCAGAATCAGTCACTGTCTTGTATTGTTAATTATTTTTTCGTGTATTTACCTCAATTCTTCAGGCATATTTTCTTTTTAAGAAGGGGGCAAGTGTTTTGTTCTCATTATGAGCCCCTCGTGGCACCTGGCACAGAGTAGTAGACACGCAAATGTTGATTTTGCTATGTCAAATGTTTTCACTTTGCGCCTCTCTTAGGGTATTGTTCTCCTCGTATTTCCGTTATGACATCTCATTTTCAACTCCCCCCCCGGCCCCGAAAACCTCTCCTTTTTGTGCAGTGGGTGATCATCGAACAGGGATGCTTTGCCTACTCCATGGTGATTGTTCCTCTTTACGACACCCTGGGAGCCGAAGCCATCACGTACATAGTCAACAAAGGTACGTCTGTGAGCCTCACGTGCACACTGACCTTGTTATTGGTCAGGGTCAGTGACTTTACATTTGCTTATATTTGACTTGATAGGAGTTTTATGTTGAAACGTGTATCTATCTACCTTTCTAGTCAAAGAATATAGTGCTTAAAATATCCTTGTGTCGGATATTATAGAGTCAAGCTTTTAACATCCCAGAGCTTGTTCTTCATTGTATCTCTTCGTTTACAGCTGAACTCTCTCTGATTTTTGCTGACAAGCCAGATAAGGCCAGGCTCTTATTGGAGAGTGTAGAAAATAAGTTAACACCAGGCCTTAAAATCATAGTTGTCATGGACACCTACGGCAGTGATCTGGTGGAACGAGGCAAGAAGTGTGGGGTGGAAATTATCAGCATGAAGGCGATGGAGGTGAGTCACCTGCCCTGCACGTTTCCCCGAAGGTCCTGAGGTCATTTTCGCTCACATGTGATCTTTGGTGCCACCAGCAGTCCCAACTCTGGCATGTCGGGAAGCCCTAAGAGATATAAAGCAGAAATTCCCGTCTTATTACTGGAAAGAATTCTGCATGCATGCCACGTGTTAATACGTCACATCTTACAGAAGTGCTTTCTCCTAAAGTGAGTTGCGGTGCTCACGTATTTATTCCAGAGTACTGACGAGCCATGCCAGTAAGCGTCGGAAATGCGAATTTCAGCTTCAGGCAGTGGAAATTTAAGTTCCTATGTCCTCTTTAGGCCTTAATGTCTTTTACCTACTGATTTGTCTCTAAAACCAAGCCAGGTATAGAAACCTGCCTCCTCATTCTTTTTCTCAGGTTGCTTCTGTAGAGTCCTGACGAATTTCCAGAGTACATGTTTGATTTGGTTTCTTTTCATATTAAATTTCTTAACATTCACATTAATCACAACTATTCTTTCCTAGAAGGTAACCCTTCTAGGAAAATGAGTGTGGTCCATATTTAAATTGGCTGTTTGATGTCAGACGATGTAAGAAGCTGATACCTCCAGGTAGACTTGGATTAGAG